CCGGAGCCGGCGCGGCGGCTCCCTCTCACCCCGGGGGAGGGGCGCGCAGCGGAGACCGCACGGGCCCGCCGGCCGCCGCGGGAGTTGTCAACTTGACCCAAGTTGCGAAAGGGTGGGAGAGTGGGGTGCGGGGCAGCGGGAGCGCCAGGAAGGGGCGACTCCTCGCTCGGTGCAGTCGAGCGCTGCCCAACGGCTTGCAGCTGCCCCCGCGGTCTCGTGTCCCCTGCCCTGCACTCCCCACGGCTGTCACTTGGGCACTGGGCTCCGCAGCGCAGCGCCGCTTGCAAGTCGGAGCGCTCCCGGCCGCCTCTGAGCGGGCTCCACGCTCCGCGCTATATAACCCTCGACCGGGAAGAGCCGGCGGCGGCATCGGCCCTCCCTCCGCTCGGCCCTCCCCGCCCCCGGGCGCACCCCGCCCCCGGCCCAGCCCCCAGCCCGCCGTCCGCCGAACCGCGGCGGGGCAGCCCCTCTCACATGGCCGCGGCCGCAGCCTCCAGCCCTTGTCGCACCTCCCGTCACAGCTTACGCCCTTGCCGTGGGGTGTCCCGGCCTCCGCCTGCCAGGCCTGGCGGTCGGCAGTGTCCGGGCCATCCTCCTCCTGCCGTCGAGTCCTCGCTAGTCCCTATGTCGCCACTTTCGTTGAGCATGGGACTCTGGACGGCCCCTTCTGCGATCAGGCACTGAGGAAGACAGCCCTGCAGGCTGGAGGAGCCAAGAGAAGGACCTCGGCAGCGCGGCAGTAGGGTGCCGGTTTATGGCTAGGGCTGGCAGAGAGCCGAGAAGGCCGTCAAAAGCCGGGTCTTGGCAGCAACTTAGAATCGCAGCTAGCTCTCTGGAACGTGGGCCGAAAGGCTCTCATTTTTCCTGGCTGAAATCACCACCGCTGGGTGCCCACAGTCCCAGTCAAGCGTCGCCCTCCCTCCTGGCTGGCAATGATAGTGCTGCATGCCGGGATTTGTAGTTCGCGCTGGTGCGGCGTGTCATTTGCGTACATTACTGGGTGGAATTCGAGAAGTACCCAGTCAACGCAGCCTAGGGACTAGGACCCCGAGTAGTCAAGGTGTCAGCACTCTTTGCTCTTGTGATATTGATTAAAGAGTCTATTCAATGCATGCATTTTCTCATACAAATTTTACCCGAAACTTGATCGTAAGGGGCAGAATCCGGCAGTACTTAATTTTGCGTCTGCAAGACGAGTTCTCAGTTCCGAGTTCTTTTCTGGCTTATCCTGGGACACCTATGAATTATGGGGCTTCGCTCTTGTCGTCTTTAAGTGGACCGCGCGCATGCGCTGACTTCCTCTTTTTCCGGCTGGAACCATGGAGGGTGCGGAGTAAGTTGCTCTTCGGCCGCTTGAGAATCTTTCTCCATCCGCGAAACCAGAGATCTTTTGTCTCACTTTCCCTCGATCCGGCGGTAGCCTGTATCTTTACCCATTTGTTTGTGTGTTTGTGACGCTCTGTGACACTAGTGGGGGCGCCAGGCTAAGGTGGGATGCGGGCGGCCTTGGGGGGGAGGTTTTGGAGATGAACCCGGAACGAGGTGTGAGAGCCGAATGTGTGCGGGACCGGTGGGTATTCCTGTCTTTCAAGAGGCGCAGAACGTCTCAGTTGGGTTCAACCTTAGTTGGTATTTGGCCCAGTCGTCCCTGTCGTCAGGCCTTTGCTTTTAGCATGTGGAACTTCAGACCTGAATCAGGGTGGTAGTTGGGAGGTGTTTTAAAATTTCTTTTCCTGAGAATTCTAAGCCCCCTTACACTCAGCCTCGTTAAGAGTCTAGAGATAGTGTCTTGCAGCCGTTTCTGAGTCTGTACGTTTTGTTAACTTTGCTGTAGATGTTTTAATTATCGGATGCCGGGGCTGATCGTGCATTAGATGTGAACTTATTGTGGTCTCCGACTGGTATTTAAGTGAAGGGGTCAGTATTAAAATGCGAGGATTCCTGGCATAGAAACTCCCTAAAATCTGCTAGAGCAGCTAAAGATACAAACTTTTAGAGCCAGTGACAGTAGTAGTGCTAAATGACAAAGCGTGCTCAGTACAGATTAGGAGTAATGTGGTGTTGTGTGCTTTTTGAACTATTAATAAAGTTCTGTTCATTGATGCCAGAGAGAAGAAAAAGAAGGTTCCTGCTGTGCCAGAAACCCTTAAAAAGAAGCGAAGGAATTTCGCAGAGTTGAAGATCAAGCGTCTGAGGAAGAAGTTTGCTCAGAAGATGGTAAGTAAACTTTTGAGGCACTTTCCATGTAAAGGCCTTGTGGTTGGATTGAAAACAGGTGTTCTTTCTCAGCAAGACTTGTTAACTTCACCCACTGTACCAGTGAGCTTGGTTATCAGCTCTTAAAAGTGATATTAAATGGAGGTAGTATCTGCACTTTGAAATATTAATGCATGCTGTGGCCAGGAAAAAGTTTCAAGGGAACATTTTTTAATAAAATTGGTGTTGCAATAAATAAGCTAAAAAACTGGAATTGCTAATTGGGTTTGGGAGCTAAAAATCAGATGAATAACTGGTATTGGTTTTCAGCTTCGAAAGGCAAGAAGGAAGCTTATCTATGAAAAAGCTAAGCATTACCACAAGGAATATAGGCAGATGTACAGAACTGAGATTCGAATGGCAAGGATGGCAAGAAAAGCTGGCAACTTCTACGTACCTGCGGAACCCAAATTGGCATTTGTCATTAGGATCAGAGGGTAAGTTCAGTTTTAACTGCATTCTGGTTTTGAAGGGAAAGCTACATGGTCTCAGCAAGACTTCACATTACTTCTAAAGGCTTTGGTTCTGAAGCACTGGAATAAAGATATTTTGGGTATAGCTTGAACATGGACGGTGGTGTCTTAATGGTTTAGTTGCAAGGTCTGTGCCTAAAGCCCCTATCCATTCTCTAATTGAGCATTTGAATTTTAATTCAGTGTCCTGGAGATAAACTTCAAAAGAAGATGACGTGTAGGGCTCATAAGTGCTCTTACAAAGATGAATACAAAACGAGGAAGTGGTAAAAGGATCAGGGGATAAGACAGCAAGTTGCCAGTGTACAGAACATGGATGTAGCTATGGTCAAAGCAAGAGCAGCTGAACCAAGCCAGAAACCCACAGAAATTGTATCTTTAAGCTAATAGAAATAGGTTCCAACGTTGAATTGTTACTCAGAATATCTGTTAGACAAGGTATTCACACAGACCACAATACATTGAAATTGGTCCCTAGGAAAGAACTCCTTATAGAAAATGTGCCATATTGTGATGCACCAACTCAGAAGCAATGAGTTTTCTAGGATAAAATCAAGTCTTTGTAGTTTTTAATCTTAAATAAATTAAATCTAATCTTAAACCTTAAAAGTTTTGGAAGTGCAAATATTTCAGAACCAGCCTATTGAAAATGAATGAGTTAGGGCGCCTGGGTGGCTCAGTTGGTTAAGCGACTGCCTTCGGCTCAGGTCATGATCCCAGAGTCCTGGGATTGAGTCCCACATCGGGCTCCCGGCTCAGCGGGGAGCCTGCTTCTCCCTCTGACCCTATCCCCTCTCATGCTGTTTCTCTCTCTCTCAAATAAATAAAAGAAAATGAATGAGTTAAAGTATCACTTCATAATTAAATTTCACACTGAAAGGACATTGCTGGAAACTGCAGAACATAGTTAAATATTTCTAGACAGCATTAGATAAGACATGTCATTTGCTTTGAAAATCAAACTTTATAAAATAAATGCTCAGGAGATAAAAAAAAAAAGGGGGGGGGTTGTAAGTTTTAAATGTCAGAGTAGCTAACTAAAGGAAAAATGCCAGTGGTTATTGTAACAGGAGATGATTTTATTTAGGTGAGACTTGGGTGGTTTTAGGTGGGACTTGTGTTGTCCAAAATTCATAATTGTTAGTTTCCTATTCTTAATAAAAATTCTGATAGCTAAGTAAATTGTCTTTTTTTCCCACTGCAGTATCAATGGTGTGAGCCCAAAGGTTCGAAAGGTGTTGCAGCTTCTTCGCCTTCGCCAGATCTTCAATGGCACCTTTGTTAAGCTCAACAAGGCT